ACAACTCTCCTAAACACTTACTTCCAGTGATTGACTGATATCTTGCAATGCGCCCTTGAAGGGTTTTTAGACTTTTCATTAGGCCATGCTGTCAGTAGAATTAGTCAGTTGCTCAGCCTTCATGAAAGAGTGCTACTGCGATGATTTTGCAAACAGTTGGCGTTTGGGATGAGAAAAAGAGTTAAAAGGAAAAGCTCAAAGATGAGTCCTGCAAAACCTGTTCTACCTGCGTGAGGGACAGCAAATAAAATTTCATACTGCTTTCTTTGACTAATGGTACCCAGCTGCCTGTTGTTTTGCCTTGTTTGCATTAGAATTGCTGGAATGTTCGAATTCAGACTTATTCATATTATTTATCCTTTTTTCATGTTTTCTGAAATTTAGTTCACGTTACATTATGGAATTCTTGCAGGGTGTTCGACAAAGATGGCAATGGCTACATAACCGCCCAAGAATTCAAGCACTTCATGACGACAATGGGTGAACGGTTCACTGAGGAGGAGGTGGATGAGATAATCAAGGAAGTCGACAAGGACGGCGATGAGCAGGTAACCTAAATCAAAATCTTTTGATTACACTGTCCTTTGATTTCCCGGATTCCTCAGTAAAGTGGTGAAAGCCGCGCAGAGGTTGATTGGCAGCAGCTTTTAAAGGGGTGCCATACTGCTTTCGAAGAGCGGGCGTACAGACAGGAGAAGGGGCCCACCGAAAAGGACCCTCCGCTTATGGCGCTCATCATCAATGTTGACGTTGCACAGGTTGGCAAGTTGTGCGGAAGACCCATAATGGAATATTCCACACTTTCCCTTCCTCCCACCCCGTCTCCCTCGCTTTCAAGCTGGAGCAAGCAGCTCCACCTCCGCCCCCTCGTCATGAGCAGATAGTAGATTAAGCCATCAATTATAGCCGTGGAATTGAAGGAGGTTTATAGCATCCCCTCTAGAGCAACTGTGGGCTCACTTGAGTTTGGAAGGGGGGGGGGCTTTTGCACTTTTGCAACTTCCCACCGTCGTGTCAAGCCATTAGCAGAGATCTGTGAAAACTGGTGAAGCTATGAGGTGATACCAGCGAAAGCTTGTAGAGACAACTTGTCAGAAAGGCATCTGCTACGAGAAAAACCTTGTACAGAAAGGCATAGTTCAGAGTTTCCTGGGTGGTTGCCTCAGCTGAAATGCAGTTGTTTTCTCGATTCCCTGGGAGAAATCCCCTCAGCCTACTTTGGAGGAGTCCGATCCTGTGTGCGGCAAGATCAACAAGAACGACGATCGAATAGTTACTATCATGCTGCTGACAGCTTCGTCTAGCTCTATTCGAACCACAGGGGTGACGAAAGCCCTTCCCCACACAAAAGAAGAAGAAACGAGGTGCAAGTAGGGAATAAGATTTTCTTGCTTCAGGTAGAGCAGCAACCTTCTTGAATGTGATAAATGTACAGTCGTTATCAGCGCAGACTAGCAGGGCGTGTCATCTGGGCGTGGTTTTGACGCGGCTCCAGCTCCATTTCCACCACCCACTGAACGCCAGAACCAAAATAATCGATTACGGGCTTCGGGCGTTCAATCAGTGGTGAGAGAGGCAGGTGTGGCGTCGAAACCCACACCAGGTGCGGCTTCGAAACCCAGCTGACGCGCCCCGCTGGCACATCTCGACTGACTTTAGTAATGATTACTGAAGATCATCTATTTCTGGCGCTCGCATTCGTTCCAGTTACCGTGTTCTGAGAAAATTTTTATTATCTCTTACCTGTTAAAAAGCATTGATCGATTCCAGATTGACTACGAAGAGTTCGTGCAGATGATTGCTCCGATCGTCTCTGAAGGCAACAAAGACGATCCGTTCGCCGAGCCTCCACCGGCCGCTGCCACCACAAAGTGACCTTCCGAACAAGTCTCTTTAGAGCTCCCCTCAGAGCTTTTCCATGCGTAGATTGGACTTTGATACATTTCCATGTTATTGATCTCAACCGGTGACTACCGGTGATAGCCAGTGATTTCTATTTTATGTCGCGAGAAACTCGTCCAAACTGTTGGCATTGCCAGTTGGATAGCAGCAGGATCTTAAAAAGTTAGCATAGTGAATTTTTTCTTTAGTGCAGACTACGATTAGTTTTAGAGCTAATTTGGACGAGTTTTCTTGTAATTTGCTGTGTAAAACTGCTGGTCAGCCAGATCGTGCCGTGGTCACGAATCGGAAAAGCCTTCTCGAAAGTCTAGGATTTTACTTACTTGTATGACGTCATCTCTGAAATTAGTGGTCTTAAACACAGTGTATCTTGTCAAGCACTCATACGGGCATATCTCATAGCTCTTCGATATTTGCAATAATTCTATATATTTAAAGGCATATTTACCAAAAACTTACTTATACCTCTGGAGTAAATATCACCGAGAGATATTTCCCAGTGTTTCAGTACAATTCCGGTGTGATTTTCTTTTACTTATTTGACGCACTTTGATGGTAATCGATATCTATTCGTTGTGTTGGTGTGGTTGTAAATTCACAACTCATCTATTCCGACGGTTGAAAGTCGTCGTTGTCCCCCTGTACACTCCTGAACCCAGTGCCATTCCTCATAACATTGATCTCCATTACATATGCATACATATATTTGTGAACAGTGAACTATAAACATTTACAAAATTAATAAACACTGAACAAAAACTCCATTCTTTTCATTGGTGAAACCTCGTCATAACGTCTTAGTGTGTTTTCCATGATTCCGTTCGGGTATGGACCGTTACTTTCCGGTAGCGGCGAAACTGGCGTTGCATGAGGCGTGACTTACGCAGAGATGCATCGTCGCTACCTAAGGATCTTCGCGGCCGGAATCATTCAGTCACCGACCAGGAAGGGTACGATGTAGTCTTACTCCTCTTGCCCCCCCCTCCACGCCACGATCGCAAGGCCAAAGTCCTATTCACAACTAGTACTCTGCGACTACAATGACGGGCTGATTTCTGATCAAAACGGAAACTTCTCTAAAATCGTGAAGTCTTGGAATTGGGAAAACTTCAGCAACTATAGCTTCATAAATACATCGCATCATACCAGCAAAACAATCTCCGAATGAATCTGCTCTTTTCTCCTCTATTCAGAAAATTCTGCAAGAAAACGTACGAATTCATGCAGTGTACCATCAAGACGTTTAGCTGCTAGAATATTACAATTTTATAATAATTAAGATAGATAATAATTCCCCGATCCCTGCAATCATTCAAAAAAATGAAAGGTTACAATTGATGACCTCTACTCTATTCGCGCGGAGAATTGTCCTCCGTCCAAGCAGTATGAGTGGTCACGCCACGTCAACAAGCCGTCTCCACCCTCTTTCGTTGATTGCGCACAATGCAACAAATGTAGCAAACGAGTAACATCAGATAACTGATGATAGAAGTCAATATCCACTTGGTCCCGCCTTTAACAACTTGCGTGGAGAAAAACGTTCATAGCACCACCGCCAAAACTCATCCCGCCCGACACGCCCCAACTGTCCATCGGACTACACAGAAACTGCGCGTACCTACTGGTAAACGGGATGGCAAGGAGGCTCGGTCCGACCATTGCTTCTGAGCTGTATAGAATGAAGAGCTTTTTGTAATTTTCGCATCGTTTCACATTCAAGTTTTTCCCGTTTCAAGCTACCGTAAAAACGTGCGCCCCATTCTCACAGTATGACCAACATTACTCGCGCCAACACTCCTTCTAAGGCTATCCGATGCATGCACTACTTCACAAAAATCCCCTCAACCCTGAGCGACAGGCTCCAATTCTGTATCATACCTTGTCATTTTTCATACTAACTATCTGCTCTGATAGAAACGATCCATACAGCTGTAAAATCTGTTTTCCTTGACAAACTGAGTCTAGTTCATTGTTTTCTTTTTGAAGGCGATCCCAATGTTCCATCACGTATCAACAAGGGATACGCTTCCAGACATACTTCAGACTTTCCTTGTTCGATCACAGTCGCTGAACAACATACCACACCCCTTACAAAGAACTCCGAACCAGTGTCAATTGAGTTCCTGATCCCTAGAAAGCTTACTATTCTTCATAGGGGAGAAAAATCTGGACCTGATACAAGGGCTTCAGCTTAATTAAGCTGCTCTTATGCAAGAGAGACCGAAAAAGACTCACCTTCGGAAAAGTTTCTTGCCAAGTGGGAGGTTACTGAGCGCGCAGCTAAAGTGGTGTGCCGCTTTCAGCACACAAAAGTGCACCGGGGGCGGCTAGATGGTAGCCTGGTGCCTTCTCCAAATTCCGCTCGTGCTATGGCATATCTAGCTACACGCCTGACTTTGGCCAAACGCGCTACTCGTCTGCGACCTCTCACTTCTAATTGTTCTTTAGGACCGTGTGTTCGGTGCGGTATTTTGCTATGCTATGCTCTGCACCTTGCTGATAGAGCGGGCGGAATCCCCCTGGTATAACTGAGTTTCAGCCTTATTTCCGTGTGACAAGGAGACAGCAGAAAGCGGGCTAGAGGGTAGTGATGAACTAGAACCGTCTCCACGATCCGTTCGCGCTGTCACACGGCCAGCCATACGCCTAACCACCAACGCGCTACCTCTCTGCGCCATCTGACAGCTGATTGCCTCATGAAATCAGATCAAATCCTCCATCCAGGCTACTGACCTCAATGGTATCGTCTACATAGCAACTAGTCAGCATCCCATGATGGAAGGCCATTCTTTCAAGAAGTAGAATGCAGCGCAAACCTTCTGTGAGCCCCTAATGCATACAGTCTGGTAGGCAGTGTGTAGGCAGTAGCGGTCTGCAGACATAGTTGAACCCCACCCAGATGCGCATGACAGTTTCCGATTTTCGCGACGTTTAGCAAGCCCGCCATATGGATGAAACCTGTGCGAACGATCAGTGTAGGTATCCCAGGGTCAAAAGTGCGGATGATTTTATTCATCAATATGACGAAGATGAAACCAGATAAAAAAAGCAATATTTTGGCTCTGCGTTAAGTAGATCCCTCCTTCACCCATGACCCGCTCCCAGTGCGTTTGGACCTCTGGTACCTTCGATTTTTCAACAAGTGCGAGTAAATTGCTGTTGATGCCAATTTCGGCGAATGACAAAACATTGTAGCGTTTGCCGTCGGAGAGTACTTCGACTGACCAGAACAATTGAAATCGCACGGTTTTATGTTGGGCGAATGAGGCGATTGAACCCAGGTCTCAGTATTGTTTGTGTCCCAGCACTGCCCTACAATACAGTTACTCGGGGTCTGGCACTATGACGAGCAACGGTGGCCTTCTTGTAGTTGTGTGGTACCATCCATTTGTCGATCTGAATGCCGAGGAACAGGCAATATGCACCGACAGTGACGGATTTGTTCTCTGTATAGAGCCGCTTGAAAGCCACAGTGCAGAAATCCTTCGCTATGATATTCATCCACTTGGACCCACAACTCTTCATGACGGAATTCGGGCGGCTTCTCATCTGCATTCATACGAAATTGAATAAATGACTCTTCATGCTAAGAATATTACTGCTAGAGGTATAGAATCGGTACTGTGTTCGTGCTTCTACAAGAAAATTAGGTACCATACTCTTGACCATCCTCAGTTTATCGGACATAACTCGGGCAGCAGTAGGGATGTCAGTCACGGGTAAGCTCGAAAAGGGTCCAGGCTCTGTGATCAGACATTCAGCGCTTGACTTCATCCACCCTTTCTTGTGCAGGATGAATATTATGGGACCATCCACGACAAC